GGCGCTCAGAGGCACCAGAGAGTTCTACGACGAAGAAAGGTTCATGGTTTCTTCGCGGGAGCGGAATGCGCACGGTACAAAAACAAGTGCTATCAAACGAGAAACGGTTTTGCTATCGTGGTCTTGGGGGTGGAGTGCGACCAGGTCTAACAGCTCTTTGGCCAGATCTGGCTCTGGTTCGGTGGAGGAGGTGCGGGTTGTGGGCCGATGCACATGTTCGATGAGATCAAGACATTTGGAGTGTGAGAGTGGGAGTCCGAGTGCCTTAGTCAGCTGGGGACGATAATCATACCAACCGCCTCTAGGTAGAGCATTGTTTGCTTGATGAGGTTTTGTTATTTAAAGTCAATGCGTGCCCTATTGACTGAACAGAAGTTGACTTTGTAACGCACATAGCGCACAGGTAGGTATGGTGAGAATAATAGAAGCAAACAGACTACAATGGCCACAGACTCGAGATGACAAAGAAGACCTCATGTGCTTAGGACGAGGATGCTGCATCGCACAACGGGTAAGTAAACGCCGAAGGGGCATCCGACGTCAGTATGGAACCGGGGAAGAGTCACTCAGCCAGGAGGCCGCTTTCGGATTTTAGCGGTCTTGTCCGATGCGCAAGCACCTGAGCACCTCTATGGCCAGACCTCTGCCTGCCCAAGCCGCAGCGCGCTCTCCGTGTGGCGCAGTCATTGACCTGAGGGTAAAAATAAGCAGGTTGGGCGAGTTCTGCGCCGTGGCCCGTCAGCTGGGCACTGGGCTGGAGAAAGCAGCCGACAGCTTAGCAGCAGCCTCACCCCGCCAAAAATACCTCCTCCTCCTGGCATCTGCCCCTTCTTCGCCTAAGGTAGGCGCACTTGCGTTATGCAGGGATGACCGCCCCTCTTCCCTCCGCCGGTTGACTCAGGTCCACCGATTTTGCCATCCATCCCCGTCCATCGTCTTCCACCACCATATTTATTCCGAGCCATTGTCCACCACCCCTCCAGCCTGCCAAACCGGGACTGCATTCCAAAAAAACTGACGCAACAAAAAACTTGAAAGGGCCGTGAACTCCTACACACCACCTAAACCCACGCAACACCAACAGCCAAAGGGAAAGAACCTCAACATCTGTTCTTTTCTGTACCCCGCCGATAAGCACCACCTACCCAACCTACACACCTTCCACACACACGACACCGCCAAAATGGATGACTGGGACAACGTCACCAAGATCGGCTCCAAGGCCCGTGGCGGAGCGTCCTCGAGAGAGACTGTCATCAAGGGAAAGAGCGCCCTCAACGCCGCCCAGCGCAGCGGTTCCGTCATTGGCACTGAGAAGAAGTTCGCTGCCGGCAATGCTGTATGTTTTAACCTTCCCATCCTCTCCTTCTCGTCGGAATTCGCGCCCTTGACATCACTGCGCTCGACCCCTCCATGACCCACTCTCATGATGGCAATCCCCAAAGCCAACCCGGCCCCAGAGCAATTGAACACTTTGAATCGGTCGCTGACTTTTATGCTTCGTGACAGTCCTCCAGACCTGGTGTCGAGGGTCAGCGCCTGACAAAGGTCGACCGCTCCGACGACATCATCAAGCCCAACACCGTCGGAAAGGAGGTCGGCGACGCCATCTCCCAGACGCGCCAGAAGATGGAGCCCAAGATGACCCAGAAGGACCTCGCCACCAAGTGCAACACCACCCAGACCGTCGTCGCCGAGTTCGAGCGCGGCTCCGCTGCCCCCGACCAGAAGGTCCTCGCCGCAATGGAGCGTGTCCTCAACGTCAAGCTGAGGGGCAACGACATCGGCGCCCCTCGTTTCGCCAAGAAGAAATAAGCGACTCGCGATGTTTTCATTTTTTGTCTTCGGTTGATCGCCGAAGGGAGGGGTAGAGCGACGGGTTGCAGCGATTGGGATATGGAGCGAAGCGGGCCAGAACGGCGTGCGCGGCCCCCCTTCTTCCTCTCTTCCCACGCCTGGGAGTCTGTGGTCTTTGGAAGGCGAAAAGAAATTTGGTCTTTTTCACGACCTGGGGTTGCATAGCATGAACAAGACTGAAAAAAATATGTCTTGCGGCTGGCTTTATGAAGGTTACGGTTCCTAGACGTTTTTACAGCACAATAGATGAGTTGGCAGACTAAAGCTGACGATTACAACTTTTATTTCATTACTCGAGGCATCTGGTATCGTGACTCGCAGTGGCTTTCTATGTATGTGAGCCAATACCTCCCACGTCCAACTCCAGCACTCGTGGTATCTTCCAAACTCCTCATGCAAAAACACGCTATGCCATGCGTCGTCAGTAGAAATCCTATATATCCTCCAAAAGTCCGGTATATCCATCAAGAAAGTCTCTTCACTCTCGCCGCGAGCTCAGCTTCATACGGCTTGCGCCTCGTCTGAATGACGACGTGCTCCTTTCCGCCAATCCTCGCAATCTTCAGCCACTCGGGCGCAACCTCGTTGGCTAGAATGCGCACCGTCTCAACGCCCTCCTCCACGGGCATAGGCACTCTGACCGAGTCCTTCAGCTTCTGCTGCAGAAAGGGCATCTGGAAAGACATGACCAGCTGCCCGGCAGAGTTTGACGCAGCGACGAGCATGGAAATGATGGCCGCGATATCGCCGATACGGTGCAGCGCCCTTATTCTCACCATCTCGGGCCCACTGGGAAGCTCGACCTGTGAGTTGGCAATCTCCTTGGCTCTCAGCCTGTCGAGGAGGCTCATCTTGGTGCCATTCGGGTTGGTCGCAGCAGCCTTGGCAGCTTGTGTCTTCGCCTCCTGCTCCTGCTTCTTGATGACAATACCGTTCTTCAGCTCGGTCAGCACGCGCTGTCCCTTGACGAGGGTCGGGTTCGTCTTGAAAATGTTGTTGCGAACGATGATCTCGGACTTGGGCAGGTCGTTGAAGCTCAGGTTCTCAAAGCAAACATCCAGGTCGGTCATCTCGTCAGTGGCCCGCTCGGTGCAGACGATGTGGAGGTTCTCCTCGAATTGCTCGCAAAGTTTCTGCTCGTCAATGTGGCCGTTGCTCTTTGTGAAGTCCATCTCCAAGCAGAGCTTGCCGCGGCCGTAGTCGGTGACGATGAATGGTGATCCGAGCAGCTGCTGTTCCTGGCCGGTCGGCTTCATATCTTGGATGGCGATGCATCTGCGGATGTCGTCCATCGTGACCTTGCGCTTTCCCCATGTCCGCGTGATGTGAGGAGTGATGGTGCTGATGTCAACTGGAGCATTGCTGTTCTGGTGTGTGATCTGGAGCGAGACGGTCTTCAGGATGGCCCGTTGCAGGTCCAGAAGCTCGAGGAGCTCGGCGGGCAGTTGCTTCGTCGCTGGCTCCTCCTCGATCGTCGGCTCGGTAGGGGCGTTGCGTCTCCTCGATCGCGTGACTTTCGTGGCTTTGCGTCCTTCGGTCTTGGCATGGGAGATGAGGGTCGACTTTTGAGATCTGCGGTGGGCGTCGACGGCAGTGGCAGTGGTGTTCTTGGGGGAAATAGTCGTCGGCTTGGGGGAGTTGAGCTCCTCCTTGGCGGGGACGGGCTCGTCTTTCCAGCCGTCCTTGGAGATGCGTTGACGCTTCAGAGACTCGGGCGAAGGGGCATTGCTCCTGGCTTTCCTGACAGGGGAGGTGTTTTCTTCGACGGAAGCTGCCTTGCGCTTCCTGGACGGCGTGGCGGACAGTGTGGGAGGAGGTGTGGGAAGGTTCTTGACAGGAGAATCCTCGGTCTTGATCGTGACCTCCGCGGTCGAAATGCTCCGCGTCGGAAGCTCAATGTAGAAGGCCTTCTTCACGGCATCATCTACGGGAAGAGCCTGGGCCTTGGATACGCGAGTGTACTTGCTGATGAGGTTGGAAGCAGGAGGCGCGGCAGGCTTGACCTGCCGGCGTGAAGCTGCGCGAGCCATTGCGTCGAGATGTGCAGCTGCGATCTGTATCGAAAGCTCTTGGGAAGGTGAGTGTAGGTCGATAGGACGGTGAACGGAGTCTGGAAGGAAGTGATAGGGTTTGCTAGTTGGCAAGTACGGTCGAAGTCCTTAATTGGGAAGAAGTTGGAACGTTGGGTCGTCAGGGAAGTCACGACGTATGTGCAAAGGTTTTGTATATTGGAAAGTAGAGTGGGGAGGTCAAAATGAGCGAGCATGGATCGCAGCTACGCGCCCCGGTCAGGGGCCGCGGACGCGACTTCTGGACGCGTTTTGGCTGCAATTCACGATGGAAGTCGCGTAAAGAGGTGGGGCGCGTTGGTCTGAGTGGTCCGTGCTCACATGACGGGCCAACCTCGGCAACCCTTTCCAACGGCATGGCAACAGACCAAAACGGCAAGCAGGGGAATGGGGGAAAGGGCACTAGGAAGGGGGGGGGGGGAAGAAGAAAAAAAAGGAAAAAGAATAGGCAGTTCGGTGAAGCTGCTACTTGGCATTTCACAGCGAGCTCCTCCCAGACAGTTGACGTCGCAATCCATTTCAGGCAGTCGCTATTTAAGCATCGCCCGACATTGCTCACTTGCTTGTCCCTGGCCGCCTCAGATCTCTGCGTGTTCAAACCTGGGGATCACACCATGAAGCGCTATTGGACAAACATGGGACGGTCTTTTTGCGCAAGGCGAACGATTCATCGAACGAGTCACCATCCTTGAGCGCTCAAACACCGTATCCATGTAAAGCGACCTTATGAGTCTTTATTATTAGGTTCAATTTGCCGACAACTGCATGTCAAATAATACGCAGAAGTGAGAGAAACCGATTGCTAGCTGCCCCGAGAAGTCGTCCTTCGTCTCAAGCCAGTACAGGTTGTTACTGCTTCCCCGAAGAATGCTGATCAGAAAACCCTAATGCCCATGATAATCCTACTTTTGTATAAATCCAGCTTCAAATCAAATGACTTTTCCCGCTCCGTATTCGCCCAAGACTCCCGTTGTCGTTCGTCCGCATGCTGATTGTACATGATGTTGATGATGTCCTGTATCAAACAGGAATCCTGCGTTGCTAATCACCGTCTCCTCCGCTGGCTACTAGAGCCTAGTGACGGATCGAGGATTGCCAGTGCTCCGCTGCAAAAGAGACGGGACTCGGTGGTGGAGGCGCCGGGACGCTGTAGTCCTGCTCTTGGATCATGTGGACAGGCGTCACCGGACGGTGGGTGGTTGAAACCAGAGTCGCGTTAAGGCTAGTATAGAGATCTTGGCCTGTCATCAGACGAAGATTCCTCCTCTGGGGAGGGATGGGAAGAGGTGATGCGATTTGGCTGGCGGGCATTGTGATGGAGGGAGTTGCTGGCAAGCAGTGTTAGACTAGACAGCTGGCTGAAGCTCCGGTTCCGAGGGCCCACGTACTGAAGAAGATGGATCCAAGAAGATGAGTCCGGGGAAGAGACGGGTATTTATGAAGAACGGGGTTCGTTCTCTTGTCCGATAGTTACGAAGAGGCTGATGTGGGTGCCGAAACAGGCGGTCAAGTGGAGAGTGATGGCTTTGATGTGAAGTTGATGTGGTGTGTAGCTGGAGTGTACCAGGTCTGGGTGAGAGTGCAGATGGCGGAATATTTAAACTGGGTGGCCTGGATCAGAATCGGCTGACCGAGCAGTAGAGAGACAGAGGAAAGGGTGCGGCCGGGCGTTTGTGCGCGATCCGTAACAGAGATTTCACAATTACTCTCCTTGTATCGTCGGCCCCAAAGGCTGGGCAAGTCGGTGCGCAAACACGGCAAGGGTGGGTGGAATGCTTGGGCAAAAGACCCAACCGAATGGTCGAAAGTGTGGGCTATGGGCAGAGGGCCGAATCAACGCAGCACGGGTAAGGTTGCAGCAGCCGGGAGAGAATCCAACGGAAGGCGTGGGGAAGAGAGTCAGGGGTTGAGGATGGACGAAGAAAGGGAGATGAGCACGACTGGGGGAGGAAAGAGGGTCAGAGACAGAGACACGGCCAGATCCAAAGCAAACAAGAGGCAGATGAAGAGTGCGGAGCTGGCACGCTGAGGCTTGCGATGTGCAATGTCGCAATCTAATGACAATCGGAGGTTTGAGACGGGGAATCAGTGAGTATCTGGCTGAAGATGACTGGACTGAGTGCGGACGATTGCGCAAGACGATGTCTCAGTGGAAATGGCCGGACTTATTTATGATTTATGAGGAGCAGCCGTCTGATGTACCAGAAGTATGTACACTGACATTTGGGGGTGGTGATGTGCCTTACTCGAAGCAGGGCAAAATAAATTTATTGTCCACAGAAAAGGCAGCTAATTAGGCAATGGACCAAGCCTTCATGTTGTGCCGCGTCTGGTTTTTTTTGTGTTTTTTTCTTCCTCTGTCGGTGTCGTCCTGCTGTGTTGGCTAGCCCCAAACAAGCTCCCAGATACTCCCCGGCTTATGGGGAAGGGTAGAAGGGGAGGAATGTTCCATGACAGCTGGGGGGGGGTTCAAGGGTGGACATGTTCCCCGACCAGGATCAGGGCAGCTTACCCCTTTGAGAGAGCTCGGGGAGCGGCCGGATGGGCTGACCGTTCGGGTGTTCGGTGTAAGAGGGGAGTGTCGGAAAATGGGGGTAATTTACCTGGCGATACAAGGAGAACAATAGAAGCCAAAGGGGTTGAGCTGGTATCGCGCGTATCTATCTCGTATCTTCTTGTCCAAACTCGCTGGCTGCGTTTCTCGGGGCAGCTTGGTTGTGTCTGGAGCAAGGTCTTTTCGTATCTGTACCGCACAAGTTGCCGATTGCGTATCATACCTATCCATGAATCGCATCGGCGGGTAATGTGCTGACGGGGCAGCGCCAGAAATTGCGGAGGTAATTCGGTTGGGGAAGCAAGCAGAAGCGAATTTTGTTCTGGGCACTGAGGGTTCTTCGTTTACCGCCAGTTGCCTTGGATGATCCCAGTGGTCGTGTCTTTCCTCCTATCACCTTATGATGCAGGCAATTCGCAGGTATTTTTGCTTATGTGGACACGGGAATGATCCCACGGTAGCCTGGACCTTGCTTTTAGGGCAAGTGTGAACCAAACGGATTGATGGGACGAAAAGTAAGGCGCGAGAGCTCACTCGGTGACTGCAAGGTCGTTCCATCGGCCGGAAGTCGGAAGACATACCCATTTCCAGGTCCCATCCTTGAAACCATTTCCAGCTCAAGAATGCCGCCAGGTAGCAAGGCAGCAGTCGAGATCGATAGATCAGGTCTACAGCTCGCATCTCCCAGCCTTTCATTCCATCTAGTGTTGCCTCACTGACCCCCTAAACCACATTGGCCACTGGTTTTTGGAGAGTGGGTTGGGGGATCAGCGACCTTATCTGCCCTGTTGCCATTGAGCAGAGAGACTTGCCGCCGAAAAGCACAGCAACGCAGCACCAGAACCGGCTAGTTTCAGCGATCCCTGTCTGATTGCAGAAGCGACAGGGCAGTGTAATCAGGAACCGGCAGAAAGACACGAACGAGATAGATGGAAATATCCTCCAATTGTGATACCGAGTTGGTCCTGGCGCGCTCTGGGACAATACTTGTTGAATACAAGGGGCAGGCAGGTATCAAATGCACACACTGCCCTCTGGCTAGCTACACCATCCCACGACGTCCACGTCCGATCATTGTTGAGATAAGTAACTTCTGCCTGGTGCGTACAATTACAACAGTCCGGCCTACTCGTGGAACGGGACGAAGGACGGGCACTGCACGGCGAGTATTCATTCGTGCGCTGTACGAATATACACCCATTGGACAACTGAAAGGGGTGGGAAAATTTTGAAAGACGGGAACCTGGAACTTCCCTCGGTGAGGTCCCCCAGAAGTTACGCAAGGGGAATGTGGGGTTTGAGTTTGGGGTGGACACCCATGGCCTGCACCTCACTTTTACAGGTTTACAATTTGCGGAGAAGGCCGCCAGTAAGGAAACCCCAACTTCCTACATTCCCAAAACTCTGGGGGACGGGAGACTCACGGCTCCAACCTTGCCTCCCCTCCACGTCCCTCCTCGCGGCACCCACAACTTGCCTTCCTTCTACTGCATAGTAGAGATTATTTACGCCGGCACGCCGGGCGAGCAGCCACACACTCTTCCCTTGCGCTGTATCTGCCACGAGGCGCACTTGCTGACCCCCAACATGACAGCTGGCCGACAAGACAAGGGCTGATTACCGGTCATTCTTGGTACGAGTAGAGACGAAGCTGACAGAATCTGGCAGAAGGCTGCCCAAAAATCTCGAGCAAGACATGGCGCTCTGCCACTTACACCTTCCCGACAGCCTCGTCAGGAGTCATGGTCAATCTTTAGTCTGGAGTTCGCAGCCAAAGCACGCCTCGGTCGTACAATCACCTCGCCAAATCAACATAGACTTCCTACCAACCATCGCCGATGTCATCCCCTGAAGTTCTGACTCATTTCTTCGGATACACCAGACCATACTCCAGGTGCATTTTACTTCGCCACGTTTCCTCGATCGTCTGGTGGTTTGAAATGTTCAGGGCGTTCCTATTGTACTCGAGACAGGGGTGTACAACCATTCATTCAGAACCTCTCGTCAACGGGTGGCTCAGCCCGCTGCCGTCACGGCTGTGCCTATGCGCACCCTTGAGCAGATTGAGCAAACATGAAGCTCTCATTTCATCATCATGCCAGCGGTTACAGGCTGGACCACGCCTCCCGGCTCCTCCCCGGGGACATGAGCGCTTCGACAAGGGTCTCAGTTTGACCCTCGCCTTGTTCATTCCCAACTCAGATACCGCTGGTACGACGTGAATGCGACTTACGTGCTTCGGTCTGCAGCGGCCTTCGTCTGCAACTCCCGTCATCTTGGGCTGAAGCTTCGTCCAGATTTTCAAGCTTGGACGGCCAATGATTAACCTCATCTCATCTAGCTCATCTAGTTGCAGGCATACCGGCCTCTCTTGAACGTCTGCTGCAACACTCAAAACTGCGGTGTGCAACGCTTTCCATGCCTTCAAGACTGACTGGCTGTTCCATTTCTGTTGTGGTCGCGGCTCGGTAGCCATCCGAGGCCTCCATGCCACCATCAGGAGAAGGACCGTCATCCAAGGCGGTGTACACGGCTTGTAGCACCGTTTGATTGGGACGCTGTCCCAATCTGCACCTTCTTGTCAGCAAGCCAATATTGCCTTGGTCAACACGGCAGCTTACGCCTGTTCCCCGCGTTTACACTTTCCACATGGCCCGCCGCTCCGCTTCCCCATTCCATTTCGTCCCAAGGCTGCGTTCGCTTGGGTCCAACTGCTCCCAGCTTGCTATTTCAGCCCATGCGTGCATGACATAGTGCTTCTCTTACTTGCTGCCATGGCTGACTTTGTGTCTCTCGCAAGTCTTTTGGGTCAATGCTGTCCGGGCGTGGATACCTGAACTTCGAGCCCTGCATTCCGCATATTGCGACCTAGACTGGGCGCAAACAAGCTGCAGCGTTTCGATGAAATTGAAAGCATCAACACCAGATTCGAATCACATTTGATACCGGGACAATATTCAGTCCGTTTCGACACCGCAGACGGACGCATTCCAGTATGGATCGTAGTTCCGATCAATACCTCGATCGGCAGTCTTGCGAAATCCATGAGTGACTTCTTTCGATCACACATCAAACTTGCCTGTCCACCGGGCCTCTCAGATGTGTCTAGGTTGTCTTGAGACGTATTCAAGTATTGGAGGTAGAACCTCTACCAAGAGGCATCGTTGACACTAATTTCCGCCGTGCGAGTCGGCTCCGGGCTTGATGTCAGTAAGCTCTCCACTCTGGCATCACAGCGGCAAACACTTCCAGCGACTCGGACGGTCTATGCAACTGAAAGCAAATTGTTGCTTAGGAATTCATGATCTTAACCATTGGATCGAGCCAGGCTCCGTAGTTTCATTCGGTACTGTGACACTACAAATCCCAGGAATGGGATGTATCGAACTTGCCAATCTTTCCGATTTGTCGGGCTACAATCGGGCTTTCAATAAGGTTCCGGGGAAGCGGGAGCACCTGCGAGACCATCCGGAGTCAAACAATCAGATGAAATGTCGGGACAATTCCCTGTGCAGCTCCGCGGAGGTCTGGGATTTCCCTGTATCGACAGAGCACGCAGAGGAGGCTGTTCTCACGGTCAGACCTGCGGTTAGACGTGGACGCTGGTAAGAGGTCAAGAGATGTCGCCTGAGATGTGTCTGCGCGGCTACATTTCCTGTGTACTTAATTACTCCTATTGAAGACTATAGTAGAAGTAATAATAATAGCAGCGACGACGACGACGGTAGTAGAGTATAGAGCAATGAGAAAAGTAGTC